ACCCCGAGCTACACTCGGGAATACCGCTAAGGAGGTTAAAAAATATACAACATTCCTTTACTAACATACTTGAGGGATGCCTTGAACCTGCACATGTACTCTGCAAATAAGACATGTAGAAAATGAAAAAAAAAACTGTTGTTGCTAAATGGCAGTTCCCAGCTGTTGGGCTTATGTCTGTAAAAAACAAAAAAACAAAAAACAGCACAGGGGTCCCCCTCTATATCCATAAGGAACTGTTAAGGATTTTGAGATAGACTTCTCACTTATTGTTTACAAAAAATGTGCACTGTCCTTTTAAGAAAAAGAACAGTGAGGTCCCCCAAAATGAATACCAGAATCTTTCTTTGAAAAGGAGCTGGTATGAACATAAGAAGAACCCTGGCAAAATAAAAAGGCATGGATCCCCCTAAATCCAAACCATCCCCTATCCAGGAATGCAGTTTAGCAGGCAAAGAAAGGGAGGGACCAAGAGTCTGTGCCTTCCCCTTCACCATACCAGAACACATGCCCTCAACATTGGGAGGGTTTCTTGCAGGGGGAAGCACAAAGCACCCCTACAAGGCACCATGTCCTTATGTTGATGGAGAGAAGAGCCTCATACCTACATTCCTGGCCTGGTGATTGGGGATTTATCAGAATAAGAAGCCCCCTCTAAAATAAGAGGCTCCAAGATATCCAGCTCTCCCATTAGAGGGGGACCCCAAGCGAAAAACAAAGATTACAAAACAAATCTTTATCCATGCATGCAGCCTGGCTGGTCAAGAAAGAGAGATGTAGCAAGTGTGTGATCCTCCCTCCTGAAACATATTAAGCCACAATCCCCTCAACATAGGGAGAATACCTTACCAGGGGGACAGCAAGGCCTCCCGAGATGGCAAGGCACTTTGTCCCTATGTTGATGCAGCATGTGGCCTTGTATGGTTAAGGAGTTTCAGGCCATGTGTCCATTTCCCTTTTTTTCCTGGCCATGTTTGAATAAGTGTCTAGTATTGGGATTTTGGGGTCTCTCTCAAAATCAATACCAGAGCCTTATCAGGAATTTTGTAAACAATATGTATTTTTCCTTAAAAAATACAAAATGGTATGAGATCCCTCTTAAAACCAAGACACTTTATCCAGTAGAGGGGGGCTATAGGAACCCCTCCCCCTGAAAATGGTGTGGGGTCCCCCAAAAACAATACCAGCCTCTTAACTATGTTTGTAGCCTGGTTGGCCAGGAAAGGGAGGGCCAACAAGTGTTTACCCCCCTACTGAGACATGCACTTAAAATTGGATAGCACCTTGGGGCTGCAAAGCCTCTACCCTGGCAAGGCACCTTGTCCCTATTAGGTTAACCCCTTCATGCCTAAAGGTAAACAAGTCAACGCCTAAGCACAACTTTGCAACTTTGACATGTGTTAGCAAAACCGTACATATCATCTCAACTACTTTGTGCATCCAGGTGGATTATACCTTGTCTTTTTCAGGACAAATTGAGCTTTCATTTGGTGGTAAATGGTAATGGATATCTCCTGATTTTTCTTTATTACCAAAGGAAAACTGGCCCAAAATAGTAAAAAAAAAACCCAGTTTTTAAAATGTAGCTGTATATTTCTTGCTACTGCCATAACCTACCACCAAAGACTGATGATTGCAGCGATGTGTATGTTAGTTGTTGTTTGTACCCATAGTACGCCCAGAAACAATAGTTCACAATTTGCTTTTTTTTATAATCCGGCCACTAACTGACACTGATACTAATTTAAAAATTAAAACAAAACCTGGACAAAAAATAAAAAAACTGACCCTGACCCTTGACCCTGACTTTGACCTTTGACACTGACCTTGACCCAAACACTATCCCTGGCACAGACCTAGATCAAACCTTCTAGGTATTTTTGTTTGTTTTTTTATTATTATTTTTATTTATTTCTTTTTTTACACACCTTTTTTTCTCTGAAAGGACAGAGGGAGATACAATGCATCTCTCTCCTTCATTCATAGATAGAAAACAATGGGTCAAGGGAGGATGGCTTCATAGTGACTTATCACTGTAATAGCCAATCGGAGGCTATCACAGCAATCAGGTGACCCAGAATTGGGAGTTCCTGGTCCAGATCATTAGAACAGGGCCCGGGACTCTCAGTGATACCCCGGTCTTTGTGCTGTGAGCATGCCAAATTTGACAAAGACAGGTACGCGAATTAGCGCCCCCACGGAAAAAAGCCCAGTTCTGTGAGGCCGCTAATTTGCGTGCGATCAGCGTCAAGGGGTTAATGGAGATAAGGGCCTCATCCCTATGTCCCTGGCCCAATGGAGGTGGGGATCTGCAGGCATGAGGACTTGTTAGAATATGGAAGCCCTCTGTAAAATAAGGGGACCCCCAGATATTGGGCCACCCCGCTCCATGAATGATAACACTCACAAAAAATATTAATTGACAATATTTGGTCAATCATATCACCCAAGTTGCCCACAGGCTTGTTTATAAATTAAAATAAACAGGTGGCTGGCTGAAAGTAATCATTCCAAGTAAAACGCTTGCTTCCTTGTGGCAGCACAGTGACTAAATGGTTAGCACAGGGGTGGGCAAACTTTTTGACTTGAGGGCCGCAATGGGTTCATATATTGGACCCGGGGGCCGGACCAAGAGTAGATGAATGATGTGTATGTGTCATCCATAGTAAGTATAGTAATATTCCCCCATAGTAAGCATAGTAATTAATCCCCCATATAGTAATTCATCCCCCATAGTAATTCATCCCCCATATAGTAATTCATCCCCCATATAGTAATTCATCCCCCATAGTAATTCATCCCCCATATAGTAATTCATCCCCCATAGTAATTCATCCCCCATATAGTAATTCATCCCCCATATAGTAATTCATCCCCTATAGTAATTCATCCCTCATAGTAATTCATCCCCCATAGTAATTCATCCCCCATATAGTAATTCATCCCCCATAGTAATTCATCCCCCATATAGTAATTCATCCCCCATAGTAATTCATCCCCCATAGTAATTCATCCCCTATAGTAATTCATCCCCCATATAGTAATTCATCCCCCATATAGTAATTCATCCCCCATAGTAATTCATCCCCCATATAGTAATTCATCCCCCATATAGTAATTCATCCCCCATAGTAATTCATCCCCCATAGTAATTCATCCCCCATATAGTAATTCATCCCCCATATAGTAATTCATCCCCCATAGTAATTCATCCCCCCTATAGTAATTCATCCCCCCTATAGTAATTCATTCCCCATATTAATTCATCCCCCATATTAATTCATCCCTCACAGTGCTATTCCCCCCCAAGTAGTAAGCCAAGTCCCCCCTGTGTCAATTCACTTACCTTTCCTCCGCGCGTTCCTCTCGCCGTGTTCCCGCGCCGTTCTGGTCTTCAGGGCGGACTGTGAGAGGAGCCTAGCTCCCCTCCCCTCACGTTCGTCACGCTGCCCCGCCTACACACATCCTGACAGCCACATCCACGGGCCGAATTAAAAGGTCCGCCGGGCCGTAGTTTGCCCATTGCTGGGTTAGCACTTCCACCTGCCAATACTAGGATTGTTGGTTCAAATCCCAGCCACAGCACCACTTGCCTTGAGTTTGCATGTTCTCCCTGTGTCTGCATGGGTTTCTTCCAGGTATTCCAGTTTCTTTCTACACTCCAAAGACATGCTTTTAGGGTCATTGGCTCCTGTCCAAATTGGCCCTAGTATGTGTATGTATGAATGTAAGTTAGAGACCTTAGATTGTAAGCCCCTTGAGGGTTAGGGACTGATGTGAATGTCTAATATATATGTAAAGTGCTGCGTAAATTGACGGCGCTATATGAGTACCTGAAATAAATAAATAATTAGTTCATAGTAAACTGCGAACAGCATGGGTTCAGGTCATCCCAAATATGGTGGTCAAAATGTATTGAACCTGGACCCTACATGGATGTAAATGACACAAAGTAATACAGGTTTTTTATCAATACATTTATTTTTAAAGCAGGCAGTGTAAGATTGTTTGACCTGGTATTGGCCTTGTATAGTCCCTATAAAGCAGAGCTGGCATATAAGTGGGAGCAGTAAAAAGGGACATTTAGTTCATGTGCTGAATCATGCTTATAGGAAGAGAAAAGTAAAGTCAAAGTGAGACAAACTCATTACTGTGCTGCTTCTCCTTTCACTCTCCAGTAACAGGCTGGGGTGGTCCAGGGCAGCCTTGGTTGAAATGAAGTTATCTTGCAGCAGAAATAAAAAGTAGGGAGGGTGAAATATCTGGACAGAAACAGAATATTTCAGCAAAAAATGGTCTTAGTTTATCTTTTAAGCCTGGTTCATACCTATGCGTGTTGCGATTGATGTGTTTTTCTGCTGCATTTTGCATTTTTGAACATGCTTTTTGATGTGTTATGCTTTTTTTTTGCAAAAAAGTACAGCTACACTCTCTGGCACTCGCTGTGACTTTGAAAATGTTCCTGCACTACTTTGATGCGACTTGAGTGCCAGAAAATGTAAACTTACATCAAAGTTGCATTCAATACTTTCCAATTGGCAAAAAAATGCATAAAAAATGCTCAACAAACACAACACTTGCATTTTTAGCGAGGTTCCATTGAAATCTATTGCAGCAAAAATGCAATTTGCTGCAGGTAAAAATGTCTCACAGCTCGTGAAAATGCATAGATGTAATAAGTCCAAATAGGAAACAATGTTAAATGGACTGTAGTGCATTTCTGCAAAATGCAAAAAGCACTACAAAACTTAAGGTGTGACCCAGGCTTAATGAGGTATTCATTTTTATACAGGTTTTTTTTCATTTTTATACTGTTCTTTCTGAATAAAAAAAAAATAAATTAGTTAAAGTGTTACTAAACCCACAACAGTACAATCAGTCTGTATATGCAGTAAAGCATGCTGGTTATACTCACTGTGAAACCTAAGGGGTTAATCCACTGCATTGTGTAAAACGGCTGTTTGATCCTGATTTCTCTGATTCTCTTCTTGTTCAAATGTCCACATCTGATATCCTGATAAGCCAGACTAAACCATAGCCAATGCCATCTGCACGTGCTCAGTTTAGTGTGTATTGCTAGAGAAATTTTTTTTTTATCTTGGGAGAGTGCATGTGATCAGCACAGGGCCAATCAGCACTGTCCAGACAGAGGTCAGGGGTTCTGCATCCTCCTAGAGCAAAATGAAAACTCCTCCTGCAATCTTTAACCAGTGCTCTGCTGAAAACTAGAAAAAAATAGAAGTCACTAGACTGCTATATACTGCTGATAAGAAAAGGTTTATATATTTTTTTAAGTTTATATTTACTAAAATAATTGCATTTCCATGTTCGGTGTACTGTGGGAGACCAGATATAGTAAATGCAGGGTCCGGGGAGACCAGATATAGTGAATGCAGGGTCCGGGGAGACCAGATATAGTGAATGCAGGGTCCGGGGAGACCAGATATAGTGAATGCAGGGTCCGGGGAGACCAGATATAGTGAATGCAGGGTCCTGGGAGACCAGATATAGTGAATGCAGGCTCCTGGGTTTAGTAACACTTAAAAACATGTAGATCATGTAAACATATTTTATTTTTATTGCAAAAATGGATACCAGTATTTAATATATGCTTTGTATTTTTTTTTTTTTTTTTTTTTGTCTCTTCATGTTTCTTAGTTTCTATGATTGTTGGAGCCAAAGCCTGCCTTAACGAAACAAACAAGCCAGACCGACCTCAAATACGACTTTTACAATACCTGGAGAACAATACTTTCAAGGACCTGAGGCCTGTAAAAAACTGGAATAGTAACGTCACTGTAAACATAGATATCATCATATACTCCATACTATCAGTTGTGAGTATCAAAAAAAAAATTACAAGAGACTGACAGGGACCGTTCACATGCTACAAGCTCTTGCCAGAACCTGCTCTCATGTTATTATTATTATACAGGATTTATATAGCGCCAAGTTTGCTCAGCTCTTTACAATATAACGGGGAGTCAATACAGCAACAATACAGTTCCATACAAGAGGGATAGGAGGGCCCTGCTCATTGGAGCTTACAATTTAAGAGGGAGTGGCTAGTGGTACAAAAGGTAGTAACTGTGGGGGATAGACTGGACTGAGGGATGGAGGAATAGAAGATTCTGATATTGGGGCAGAAATGTATTCTGATAGCTGGGGCAGGATAGGCTTCCCTGAAGAGATAGGTTTTCAGAGACCGCCTAAAAGTGAGAAGAGTAGGCGATAGTCTGATAAATTGGGGTAGAGAGTTCCAGAGGATGGGGGAAGCTCTGGAGAAGTCCTGGAGATGAGCATGGGAAGAGGAGACAAGGGAGCTAGAGAGCAGGAGGTCGTGTGAGGAGCGGAGAGGACAGTTTGGGTGATATTAGGAGACAAGATTGGTGATGTAATTTGGGGCAGAGTTATAAATAGCTTTATATGTTATTGTTAATGTTTCATGTAACAAATGTTTATCAGATACTGCTCGCTAGTAACTAAGGATTGGGATAGACTGCATGGATATAGCCAAAGACAATCGAATAATTCACAAATGTAACCAATGACTCTCAGAGACTGTTGACATGTTAATGCACAAATCTGTTCTCAACTGATATTGAAGTTGTTCTGTAGACAATATTCAGAAAGCACAGTTTGGGAGCTGAAAAGAAAGTGAAACAGTTATCACACACACCTAGCTAGAAACACTGACAGAAAGAAAAATATAATAAAATGAAGAAATGTATTTAGCAAGATCGCTTCAAACACAACAGTGTAGTCTCAATTGCACTCAAATCCATGTGATGACCACTAATCTAGGTGCATTTGGACAACTTTTTATATAAGTAAGGTGTTGAATTTCAAAAAACAAATAGACAGATCACTTTGCAAAGGAAGTTGCACTTTGGAATTTTCCCCACAGCTTAGTAAATGCGGTGAAGCTCTGCTGACTTCCATCATCCAATCATGTGCAAGCAAAAATGCAGATTTTTTTTTTTCATTTTCTTTGTACATGATTGGATATTCCTTACAAAGTGAAATTTCGCTACATTTATTAAGCTTGGGGGAAATCTGTTGCAAAGCATAACTTCTATTGTAAAGTAAACACCTTTTTTGTCTTTACTAAGGCTACTTTTACACTGATCCACTGCAAAAACGCATAGGCATTTTTAACGTGTTTTTAACGCGCTTTCTGAGTATTGTTTACGGGACACATGACACGTGACATGACTGCTTTGAGGTGTTTTTGAGGTGCTTTTCAGGCATTTTTCAGGTGTTTTCCATTGATTTCAATGGGAAGAGGCGTTTTTGGGGTATTTTTTTTACTCCCCAGACATGCCGCAAAGATGCTGCAAGCAGGAGTTTTTACACAGCAGTGTAAAAACATACATAGATATACATTCATATACACAGGGAAGCAGTTTTCTTGAGCTTATCAGGCACCTTTTTGAATGCAAAAACACTTGAAAAACTCCTCAGTGTGAAAGCAGCCTAAATCAAAACTGTGTCTTTTTATACATTCCATGCTTGTACTAAAATATTTGCTTTGTTTTCTTGACTACAGAATGAAAAAAATCATATAATGCAAATTGACATCATGTGTAACCGGGTAAGATAAACATGAATGGATATCTATTAAGTATCAATAGCCTTCTGCATTACATAAATGTGTTTGCTTCACATTATACAACTCTACAGTATACAGAGTAGGAATCTACAAGCCCAATCAATAAATAGGACAGCAATAGATACTTTACTCCTCTGAACGGAGTGTGCTGTCTCTTTAAATCATAAATGTCCTAAATACAAACACATTCATTCATTGTGTTAAACTTTTAAGCCAGGGGTGTCCAAACTTTTTTCAAAGAGGGCCAGATTGGATGAAGTGAACATGGTGGAGGGCCGAACATTTTTCCGAACATTCTTTGAACCATTACAATTAAATGCAAATAAATTATTTTATGCCAAGTTAATTGCAAACGACATACTTTTCATTTCAAAACATTAAGATCAACTGACAGCTGAGTTTTCACAATGTATTGAAAATAAATAAAAAAAAAACTTACCTGCACTAATGTGAAGGGTGAAAAAGGTAGCTGGAGCTGAAGTCTCTGCTCGGCAGCCGGAAGGGGAAGAGAAACGCACTTCACGCTGGAAGCCCGGCCCTGACATCACCGCCCTCTGTCGCTCCCAGCGCGGCGCAGTCACGCATGCGCACTGCTCTCAAGCAGAAGACTGTCTGCCACAGAAGGGAGGGTCGTGCGACAGCCGCATTTACACAGACCAGGGAGAACGCGCCGCAGTCAGGCATGCGCACTGCCCTCTGCTCTCAAGCAGAAGACTGTCTGCCATAGAAGGGAGGGCCGTGGGAGGGCCACATTACACAGAGCAGGGAGGGCTGTTGGAGGGCCGTATTAAACCGACCCCCGGGCCGTAAATGGCCCGCGGGCCGGACTTTGGACATGCCTGTTTTAAGCAATACAAATAATTGTAAAACTAAATTCTGCAAATATTACATTCATATAAAGTGCAATTCAATTTTGACTTCATGCAACTTCTGTGCAATAATTAAATAAAATGCAATGATCAAAGAAAGTGTTCAAAGTGCAAGTGCCATAAAAAGCAATATAAATTCCCAAATGTATGAACTCCTCCAAAATGAAGATGTTCCAGTAGAATGTCCTACCACCACCATATACATGTACCTTACCGAATCAATCAGACCTCTAAGCTATAGGAGGTCGCTCATACATTGATCTAGGAAGGAACAGCAAACAACAACCAGAATAAATCACATCAATTGACTCCAACCCCTCTCCAAAAGCTCCAGCAGACCACCTTCCCGCTCATCCAACCAACCATCCAAAAGTTTTCCATAACCCGAAATGTTGTATGTTTTATTTATACAAATATACTCGCAAGAAACAGTAATAACAAGCGTTGTACTCAAAACATGAGGCCACCAGCACAGGTAGCTCCACTCAACCTGTTTCGTATGAATACACGTGATCAGGGGACTGAGTAATACCAGTTGGATGATCATGAAGGTGGTCTGCTGTAGCTTAGAGGTCCGATCGATTCGGCAAGGATCATGTCTATTGCTTTGAAATGTAACACAATGGATTAATGTGATTATATTTAGGACACTTGTGATTTAAAAGAGTTTACTATGGATGGAAGAGCAGCTAAAAGTGACCACTGACCTTAAATCAACCACTAAATAAAAAGAATTAAAAAATAGACAGCTCTTCACATTACTGTCACTATATTATTTGAATAATACATTTTTTTTTTTAAAAAAAAAGCTTTTTTTCAGTTGTAGCAGCGACACATGCTTTTCTATCAAAAAGTAATTTACCTGCTTTTACTTTAGCACCCCAGACTTTAAAAAGGCCCTAAAAGGAACCTATAATAAGAATGTAAATATAATAAAAAAATAAAAACAAACCTAAAATACAGTAATAAAAAAAAAAACCACAAAAAATAAATGAAAACTTCAAAATACTGTCTCATGAAACAAAACCCATTTTTTAAAATTAAAACCTTGCAGAGTAAAAAACAGTTTACTATGGATGGAACAGCAGCTAAAAGTGACCTTAAATCAGCCACTAAATAAAAAAGAAATAAAAAATTGACAGCTCTTCACATTACTGTCATAATATTATGAAAATGTATACATACACAACATGTTTTAGGAATGTGACAAGAACACATGTACATATTTCATTAACAAATACCAATAGTTTGTTGAGATTTCTTTTTGCTTTCCATGCTGTGTTTTATAATCATGTTATATACTGAATGCCAATAAATACACATAATAATTTACCAAAACTGCATGGTGCAAAATTTGGTGCTGCTCTGCATAGAAACCAATCAGCTTCCAGGTTTTATTGCCAAAGCTTAATTGAACAAGGTTAAGTTAAAAGCTGATTGGCTGCCATGCACAGCTTTTCCAGATTCCGAATGCACCAGTTTTAGTAAATTTCTCTTATAGAGTACTGTGTTTTTAATTTTCTCAACAGTCATGGAAAGATGAGTTTTTACAGTGGGAACCAGAAGAATTTGAAAATATAAGCATCATCTCAATTCCAAAAACAAACATATGGATCCCAGATGTCCAGGTTGTTGAATTGTGAGTATAAAACAGTATGCCATTGCTACTAAAATAGAAATACATTTATAACAGTACAGTAGATCTACAGAGTGATTGCTTTTTTAACTGGTCCTTTCTGCACCAGAAGGTAAATTGATGCAGGACTGAGAAGGCAACTAGCATTTTAGCAAGGGCTCTGGTTTTCAGTTATCAGTTATACTATGTAAAGTATAGAAGAAGCCATGTACTGTCTGGTGGCAATCTCTCTTAGGAGCTATTGGGGCATGCTAGGATCAGTTCAGCTGTAGATGGGGAGACCTTGAAAGGCTACAGGCAGCTGTCAGCTTTGGCTAAGTCAGGAAGGAGGTGGCAGACAGTGTCATAATTCGGGGGGCAGACATGGGTCAGGGCAGACAGCAGACAGTATCATTATCCAGAGACAAGCAGAGGGTTAGGGCAGGTGGCAGACAGTAATCTTATCCAGAGAAAGGCAAAGATCAAGGCAGGAGGCAGACAACATTCTTATCCAGAGACAGGCAGAGGGTTAGGGCAGGTGGCAGACAGTATCCATATCTAGAGAAAAGCAGAGGGTTAGGGCAGGTGACAGACAGTATCATTATCCAGAGACAGGCAGAAGGTTAGGGCAGGCAGCAGACAGTATCATTATCCAGAGACAGGCAGAAGGTTAGGGCAGGTGGCAGACACTATCATTATCCAGAGACAAGCAGAGGGTTAGGGCAGGTGGCAGACAGTATCCATATCTAGAGAAAGGCAGAGGGCTAGGGCAGGTGACAGACAGTATCATTATCCAGAGACAGGCAGAAGGTTAGGGCAGGCGGCAGACAGTAATCTTATCCAGAGAAAGGCAAAGATCAAGACAGGAGGCAGACAACATTCTTATCCAGAGACAGGCAGAGGGTTAGGGCAGGTGGTAGACAGTATCCATATCTAGAGAAAGGTAGAGGGTTAGGGCAGGTGGCAGATAGTATCATTATCCAGAGACAGGAAAAAGGTTAGGGCAGGTGGCAGACAGTATCATTATCCAGAGACAGGCAGAAGTTTAGGGCAGGTGGCAGACAGTATCATTATCCAGAGGCAAGCAGAGGGTTAGGGCTGGTGGCAGACAGTATCCATATCTAGAGAAAGGCAGAGGGTTAGAGCAGGCAATTGACTATCATTATCCAGAGACAGGCAGAAGGTTAGGGCAGGTGGCAGACAGTATCATTATCCAGAGGCAAGCAGAGGGTTAGGGCAGGTGGCAGACAGTATCCATATCTAGAGAAAGGCAGAGGGTTAGAGCAGGCAATTGACAGTATCATTATCCAGAGACAGGCAGAGGGTTAGGGCAGGCGGCAGACAGTAATCTTATCCAGAAAAAGGCAAAGATCAAGACAGGAGGCAGACAACATTCTTATCCAGAGACAGGCAGAGGGTTAGGGCAGGTGGTAGACAGTATCCATATCTAGAGAAAGGCAGAGGGTTAGGGCAGGTGACAGACAGTATCATTATCCAGAGACAGGAAGAAAGTTAGAGCAGGTGGCAGACAGTATCATTATCCAGAGACAAGCAGAAGGTTAGGGCAGGTGGCAGACACTATCATTATCCAGAGCAAAAGCAGAGGGCTAGGGCAGGTGGCAGACAGTATCATTATCCAAAGACAGGCAGAAGTTTAGGGCAGGCATCAGACAGTATCATTATCCAGAGATAGGCAAAAGGTTAGGGAAGGCGGCAGACAGTATCATTATCCAGAGACAGGCAGAAGGTTAAGGTAGGTGGCAGATGGTATCATTATCCAGAGACAGGCAGAGAGTCAGGGCAGGAGGCACACATTATCCTTATCCAGAGACAGGCAAGGGTCAGGGCAGGCAGAAGACATGAGGGTAATCCAGAGATTGACTAGAGTCAGAACAGTGGCACAGCCGGAAGTGTGTGTCTAAGGGGGGTACCTTTGACTCTCATGGATGGGTGAGCTGCAGTCTTCCAGGAGGCCAAAACAGACTGCATGGGCAACACTGGAACAGTAGGTGACCGGCGCTCCTAACAGCAGGCATTTTTTTTATTATTAAATAAATACGTGATGTAATTGCATTCTGAGTAATTCCAGTTTGGCATCATATGTCTCACTGTGTACAGTTTTCTTAAAGTATAACTAAAGGCAAAACTATTTTTTTAAGATTTGGATAGAATGGAGAGGAATTAGAACACCTGTCAGTTGTTATTGCTGTCTTTGCCCCTTTTAAGGAATCCACCTTCTCCATTTGTCCTGTTTACCATTATCATTGAAAGTGAAAGTAAAGAAAATCACAACTCTTGATTTGTCTCCAGAAAAGTAATAGAGGGGAAATTTTCCAATGGGGGCACTAGTTCTGGTAACCTGGGGGTCCCCAGGGGATTCCCTTAATTGCAGGGATTTCCTCTCACTTCCTTTTTTTCTATGGGAGTGGAAGTGAAGGGAAATCTCCCCAATGGGACACAAATGGCCAAAAAAAATCTGACAGGGGTTATAACCCTCCCTTGCTCTATGCAAAATTAAAAAAAAAAAGTTTTGTCTATAATTCTACTTTAAGAAAAGTAAATTTATTGGTTTAGATCCTGCCAGTGACAGTGCTTCCTAATTCAGGCTGACAACGGTTTGCCACTGCCCTAAAATTGGCAGAAATGTTGTCAGTCAGCTGTGCTCTATTCCAGTTGGTCCTTGGGCTGCCCATCAAGCCTGCGCATGCATCCAAGTAGTAATGTTTAAGGGTAAGAGTAAAGATTAGAGTTAGAGATGTGAGTTAAGGGTTACAGATTTGGGTTAGTATTTATGTGGTTTTTTTAAGGTTAGCTTTCAGGGTTAAGTCGCCGGTCATACTGCTGTGATTTAAAATTGAGCGAGTTTTGTGCAATTTCACCGTGATTTCAGGTGTGATTTCTGAAGACTTGTGAAGATTTTCAACGATTTCTTGCAATTTGCATTGCGATTTACATTATATTCTATGTGTTTGAAATTGCAATAAACTGCAGAAAAAGTAATGCAAGAGCTACTTTAGAAATCACACATGTTAAGACACTGATATTGAAATTCATTAAATGTCATTTCAGGTGAGATTTCAATTCACAAATCACTCTTGAAATCGCACCGGTATTACCGGGTACTAAAGCCAAACTCCAGCTTTCTGTCACACCAAGCTGGTCGAAATGCACTATTTATTTCACTAATAGATACTCCCGCTCAAGGGCTGACTGACAACTCATGGGGCCCCCGGGCAATAAGGAATCATGGGGCCTCTGTGTCCTTGCCCACACTCAAAGCACACCCAAAAAAGCCTATAAAAGGTACCAGAGGCATTTCATGGGTCCCCCTACTGACTCCAGGCCCTCGGGCAGTGCCCGAGTGCTTGAATAGTCAGTCCGCCCCTGTTCCTGCTGTGATCACTGTATATAACTGTATTAATTCCATATAGTATACAGTGCTGTGTTCTAGCAGTCGGGTGGGGACTTCCTGTCTCACTCCTTGAACCACATCAGGTTGGGCTGAGCACTGCTCAGCCATTCACAGGAAACCTTGTGTTTTATTAATGAGTACATAGCTTTCTCTTTTTTGGTTGAGGTGGAGATTGTAACCAACCCACCTCCCCACTTCAGCCAATCAGAGGAAACTTTGCACTTTTGCACACAACTTTGCAAAATACAAAGCTTCCTGTGAATGGTTGACCAGCACTCAGCCTGATTGGTTTTTGTCCCAGGAGTGGAACAGGAAGTCCCCATTGTGCTGCCAGAACACAGAGCAGTATAGTGTATGTAGCTGACTCTACATATAGTTCATACAGCGCTCACAGTGTGCGCATCTATTGGTGAAGGTAATTGCTTGTTTGGACAAGCTGGGTCCACAAAAAAACTATTTTAAAATTACAGAAAGCAAGGTTGAGGTTAGAAGTTAAGATTAAGGGTTAAAAATGAGTTTTATGCTAAGTATTGGGTTAAGGGTTAAAAATTAGCTTTAAAATTACATTTTAGGTTTAGGATTTAGTGGTAGGTTCAGTTTCAGGGTATGCAAAGGATTACATTTAAAGATTAAAATAAGAATTAAAGGATATGTAAATCCAACATTTCATTTTCCTGATATGTGAAAACAGTACAAAACCTTTTACACTGCGCTTTGGAGATAACCCAAATTAAACCATAAATTATCCAGCTGCACTCAACAACATCAAACCATGTGTTCAAACTCGTTTAAATATATGTTATGCTGAATATATAAATTAAAAATCATACATATTACATAAATAGAGTGTCATATAAAGTGAGTCCATATATTAAAATAAAAACATACTTGAATGTGACAAATAGATTAAATAAATTAAAAATCCATATATCATTATTCACAACACTCCTCCTCCTGTTGGAGACAATGCGGAGAAATAGGATCAATGCTCCATACACTATGGACATGCAAATCACTCAAATCCTTCTGGAATAGCGTCTTCCAAATGCTCTCAACATTATCTAAAACTCCAATAATCCCAAACGCTGCTCTAGCACTCCTCCATATTGGAATCAACGATTTCCCTCGAGACTCCCTTACCATTATTATCTACACATTATCGGAAGCTAAAATAAACATAACTAAATTATGGAACACTACTAAATCCCCTTCTCTTACTTTACTGATAACAGATCTTAACTTCCAATGCGATATGGAAAAAAGATCTGCCCTAAACAATTCTACCACATTTAAGCTCCATTGGTCTCGATGGTTACAAAACCCAAACTGCTCCATAAAATTCTGATAAATTCACTATAAAATACCTTGACCCATCTGCCTAGACTGGTGCACTTACCCTTCCCTCTCCCCTTTCCCACCTCCCCTATTTCCCTACTCCTTGTTCTCCACCCTCTATAGATCTCTTCTACAACCCTACATGGTTCAGAATATACTGAGCATACCTCTCATGCCAACACCACTTATTCTAGTATTACCTCCAGCCAAATGGTGGGGAAAATATTGTTTTGTTTACTTTCCTGTACTACATTATTTCTAACTGAACCGTATTTACCTACAATGTCTTGTTACTAAAACTTCAATAAAAACGATTAAAATCTAAAAATCCATATATCAATAAAATCTCCCATGATTAAGTGTCTTCTGTAAATCAATTCAGTGTACAGTGTATCCACCACCATCCAACACAGCCCTTTACCAGGAACGCAGACCCCAGATAGGAGGTCTGCAAAAGCATGAAGCTGTGTGTGTTCCAATACATACAGTGGGTAAAATAGGTATTGAACACGGCACCATTTTTCTCAGCAAATATATTTCTATTGACATTACATTTTCATCACATAAAGGTAACAACCTGTCAGCACCTGTGGTAGTGAGCTCTTAATCCACAGCTTGGGGTTCCCCAGGGCGCGGAGTCTAAGCCCCAGCCTGCTTGCTCACCAGGGCCCCTGATGGTGGGGATGGACTTGGAGCAGGCTGGAACCAGGTCGCGGCCCCCAGGTACACCCAGCTGAGGTAGAAGAGACCGCTAGCAGGAGCAGGGTACAATGGGAGTAGACTCAGGAGATCCAGTAGGCGAGCCGAGGTCAGGACAGGCGGAAGACAAGGAACGAAGCCGGGGTCGGTACACGGATAGGCAATATAGGAGGAATGTCAGGGACAAGCCGGGGATGGTACACAGATATACTTGATCGGATTCTCAGAGGAACACAGGGGAGCTCAGACAACAACATTGCTCAGGCAAAGTGAGATAGACTGAGCATGTCTTAAATAGACAAGCCAGCTAGGAGGCGGGCCAGGAAATGATGAAAGGGAAGCACATAAAACCCAGGGAATAGCAGACAATGCCCATAGGTGAGCACAGAGAAACACACATTTGAAAGAACAGCAAGGAGGTAAGACAAAACAAACAAGAGGCTGCAGGCTAACTTGTGACACAACCTATGCAATTCATACATGCACCAAGAACAAACACCAAAACAATTAAGTTCAGAAATTAAGTTATGTGTAATAAAATGGAATGACACAGGGAAAAGTATTGAACACATGAAGAAAGGGAGTATCAAAAAGGCATGGAAAGACAAGACACCACCTGAAATCTATCAGTAATTAGAAAGCAATCCTGCCCCTTGTCAGTGCAAATTAATATCAGTTGGTTCTGTCTCAACTGATGGCCTATAAAAAGGTGTCTCATTACCAAGGTGTCACACAAAAAGCAAAGAGTTATCTCAAGACCTTTGCAACCTTATTGTTGCAAAACATATTGAGGGCATTGGCTACAGAAGGATTTATAAACTTCGGAATGTTCCAGTGAGCACTGTTGGGGCCATAATCTGGAGGTGAAAGAACATTATTTTACAGTAAACCGGCCATGACCACGTGCTCCTCACAAGATTTCTGACAGAGGAGTGAAAAGAATTATCAGATGAGCTGTCCAGAGACAAGAACAACTTGTGGAGAGCTTCAGAAAGACCCGGAATTAGCAGGTATAATTGTTAAAAAAAAAAAAAGTAATGCACTCAACCACCATGGCCTGTGCATATCCAAGATGCCCAAAGCATGTTGAAGCTGGTTTAAAGTTTGCTGCACAACATTTAGACAAGCCTGAAAAATACTGAGAGAATATAGTCTGGTCATATGAGACCAAAATTGAACTCTTTGGATGCCATAATACACACCATGTTTGGAGGTCAGAACATCATGGTGTGGGGCTGTTTTTCAGCATAGAGTACTAGCAAACTTCAGGTCTTTGAAGGAAAAATGAATGGAAAAATGGAAAGACATTCTTGATAAAAATCTGCTGCCATCTACAAGGATGATGAAGATGAAACAAGGGTGGACATTTCAGCAAGACCATGATCCCAAACACAAAGCCAAGGAAACTCTCAACTTCTAGAATGGCCCAGCCAATCACCTGACTTAAATCCAATAGAAAATCTATGGAAAAAAACTAAAGATCAGAGTTCACAGAAGAGGCCCAAGGAACCTTTAAGATTTGAAGACTGTTTGTGTGGAAGAATTGGCCAAAATCACACCTGAACAATGCATGCAACTAGTTTCTCCATACTGGAGGCGTCTTGAAGCTGTCATTACCAACAAAGGATTTTGTGTGAAGTATTAAATCAATTTCAGTTAACCTGTTCAGTACTTTTTCCCTGTGTTATTCCATTTTATTCCACATAGCTTAATTTCTGAACTTACTTGTTTTGATTTCTTTGTATGTATGGATTGCATGGGTTGTTATAGACATGTGGTGAGAATATCATGTCAATTGCACCGTTAGAAATATATGGACTATTTTGACTTTTTCCTCACTATTTGCACAAAGTGCACTTAGAATTATTTCATGTTCACATTGTCACACATACATTGTTTTCACAACTCATTGTCACATTAGCAATGTTTAAAAGTGATTGCATATATGTTTTATGATGATTTATAGTGCAACACATTTATATATACAGAGAGTTTTAGAGATGAATAACTAGTCAGCATATCCTCCTGGGCTACCTGGGCCCCAAGGAAAATTCTGGCAAGGGCCCACCATTATTCAAACAGTCAAAGGTAATATACAAAGCTAATCATGGAAAAATATGGGTATGACCTAATGGGATTACTCAAATGAAATGTATGTGAAATGAATGAAACTATGTAATGGTTGCTTTTAGTTTAGAAAATACTATTTAAGAGTTTTTTTGTCCCTATATAAAGCCTTTGCTCTGCTTTCCAAGTGTGTTCTATGTTGTATGCTTTTGTCATTTTGCTTAATAATGTTTTATTGCATTCCTTTTGTTCATCTCTTAGTTACGAATCTACTAAAGAACTACACAACTCTTTCGTCTACATTAGACACACAGGATGTGTAAGCTACCAAACAGAATTCATAATATCAATCGTTTGCAATTTTAACATCTACTTCTTCCCTTTTGATGTTCACATTTGTAACATGAGTTTCCAAAGCCAGCTTCACACAAGTAAGCCGTGTCTTTTACTAACCATTTATTTTTTCACTCTCCATTTCCTGGACCTGTCATTGTCAGAAAAGTGTGTGAAAATCAGAAGTGTAAGATCAGCTGTACATTCTTCATCGAGGACTTCCTTTAATGAGAGACATAAAGATTAAAGTAGAAGTAAAGTTTAAATATATCTTGTTAAAGCATTGCCTCCCTCTCCCCCTACTTATGCTGCATACCATTTATAGAGAGTGGTATAAGTACCTTTTCTTTAATCTGTTGTGGTGCATTCAATTGATCTGGAACAGCAGCTCCCCTGTGTAGCGGTGTGCTCAACAATGGGGCTGATTTCCAGGAGCTGTGGCTTCATCTGTCTGAAAACAGGTTGCTGATTCACTACCAGCTCCAGCCAAGCTGACCATGTTGACCTCCCACCTTCTTCATGCTCAGGATTCAGATAACTCACATTCCCTTAGCCTGAGGCCCACCATCAGAAATAAAGGAATGTCCATACAAGCAGTATTTAAACAATTTTGTTACTGTACCAAAGATTTAATAACAGCTCTGTACATCCCGACTTTCACCTCGATAACTACTTGTTTAATAGCAACAATTATCCAGAGTACCCCTTCACCATTAACAACAGGTATCCACCCATCTCTTCCATTTTCCTCAACACTGTTCCCATTACAGGCCTACTGGGAGTCCACTTTCTTAGGCTACAGAAGTACAAAGTGGTATACCAGGGGTAGCCTTTTCCCATCAACCTTCTGCTCCATACTCCTGTGGCTCCAGAATATACAAGGATGCACCTACCACTAAAAGGGGTACTAACCCCTGCTTACATGCCAGCTTCCATTGTCCCTCTGTTGTTGGCACTCCCTCCTTTACAGCAGCCACTCACTGACATAGAGGTACTGTAGGTACAGTATAGCAAATGACCGTTGTTACTTTAGGTCATGAAGTTAGTTACTGGCAAAACCACTAGGTTTAAATAAAGTAATTTGAACATTACAATAAAATTTTCTTCTTAGATACATATTTAGAGAATATAAGATTTGTCAAGGAACAGTAGCAAGTTCCTACCTTAAACTGGTTTCCACTGGAATATGAATGGTACAGTAAGTCCTCTACTTATGAACATTCGAGTTGTGAACTTTCAAAGAGACGAACAAGCTCCAAGTTGCGAACTTTCAAAGATACGAACATGCATTCAAATGCCAAATCACGAAAGTAGCTCACATGTCTGCCGGATAATGTCAGCTGTGTGCACCCTCTGCCACAAGCAGTTGTTCTGTTGTGTACTTTACTGTATAGTACAATAGTGTACAGTAGTACAGTGTTGATCTCAAGCCTAGGATGTCTGGAAGCAAGCATAAAAGCAGTGGTCTTGTTTGGTCACTTTATGCCAGCCCCTGTATGTCAGCTGTTGTGCTGTACTACTGTACCTTTCAAGGTACTGTAGGATTAAACATCCTTTCTTTTACAGTATTTCTTGTGTTTGTTTTTTATGTATTATTTGTGTGAAAAGTATTATAACTCTTACTTTGTTGGACTTACAAACAAATCGGACTTACGAACAAACTCCCAGAACGGAACTCGTTCATAAGTAGGGGACTTACTGTATATTTAATATATGTGTTATTATATTTATTATTAATATAATATGTTTTTGTTTCATTTTGTTTATTTTAAGTAATTACGGGAAACTAATTTAGAACAGGGCGGTGTGATGTAATGAACACATTTGGTGAGAAAAAATAAGACAAATAAAGCAAACAATGTAAAATATTCAATAGTAAAGCAAAGCAGGATGTTAATATTTGCATTGTATGTTGTAAACCTAAAGAAGTTGCAGTTTGAAAATAAGTAACGATACACTATTTATATCTCTCTACCTTCCAGTTGATCATATCAATTTTACCTCAATGAGATCTGAGAAAGAGCTAAATGAGGATATCAGCAAATTTTTCATTAAAGGAGAATGGGAACTGCTCTATATAAAACCCATTTACGCAGTGTGGGAACAACACCAGGAAAAAAGCGCTATGATAACATTTCAGGTGAGTTAAAGTGTTACTAAACCCAGGACCCTGCAATCACTATATCTGGTCTCCAACAGTACACACAACATGGAAGTGCGTTTATTTTAGTAAATATAAACTGCTAAATACCTTTCCTTATTAGCAATTAGAGTAGTCATGTGACTGCTATCAGTGGCTTCTATCAGTGACCTCTATCAGTCTTGTGACTTCTGTCAGTGGCAGTCACTATATCTGGTCTCCAGCGGTACACAGAACATGGAAGTGCAATTAGTTTAGTAAATATAAACTGCTAAATACCTTTTTTCATCAGCAATTAGAGTAGTCTTGTGACGTCTATCAGTGGCCAGCCAAGCGCTGGTTAAAATCTTTTAGGAGGAGTTTTCATTTTGCTCTAGTAGGATGCAGAACCCCTGACCTCTGTCAGGACAGTGCTGATTGGCTCTGTGCTGATCACATGCACTCTCCCAGGAAAAAATAACTTCTCTAGTAATATACAAACTGAGCATGTGCAGAGTGACTCCACACGATATGTCTTATCAGGAGATAAGAGGGGGACAATGGAAGAAGGGGAGCATCAGAGAATACAGGATCAAACAGCATTTTTACACAATGCAGAGGATTAATCCTTTAGTTCCACAGTGAGTATAACAAGCATGCTTTACTGCATATACAGACTGATTTTACTGTTGTGGGTTTAGTAATACTTTAAGTCATAGCAATAGTACATACAGGTGAAACTCAAAAAATTTGAATATCGTGCAAAAGTTCATTTATTTCAGTAATGCAACTTAAAAGGTGAAACTAATATATGAAATAGACTCATTACATGCAAAGAAAGATGGTACAAGCCATGGTTTGTCATAATTGTGATGATTATGGCTTACAGCTCATGAAAACCCCAAATCCACATTCTCAGAAAATGAGAATATTGTGAAAAGGTGCAATATTCTCCGCTCAAAGTATCCCACTCTAATCAGCTAATTAAGCCATAACACCTGCAAAGGGTTCCTGAGCCTTTAAATGGTCTCCCAGTCTGGTTCAGTAGGAATCACAATCATGGGAAAGACTGCTGGCCTGATAGTTGAGCAGAAAACCATCATTGACACCCTCCATAAGGAGGGAAAGCCTCAAAAGGTAATTGCAAAAGAATTTGGATGTTCCCAAAGTGCTGTATCAAAGCACATTAATAGAAAGTTATGTGGAAGGGAAAACTGTAGAAGAAAATGGTGCACAAGCAGCAGGGATGACCACTGCCTGGAGAGGATTGTCGGGAAAAGGCCATTCAAAAGTGTTGGGGACTTTCACAAGGAGTGGACTGAGGCTGGAGTCAGTGCATCAAGAGCCACCACACACAGATGGATCCTGGACATGGGCTTCAAATGTCGTATTCCTCTTGTCAAGCCTCTCCTGACCAACAAACAACGTCAGAAGCGTCTTACCTGGGCTAAAGAAAAACAGACCTGGTCTGTTGCTCAGTGGTCCAAAGTCCTCTTTTCTGATGAGAGCAACTTTTGCATCTCATTTGGAAACCAAGGACCCCGAGTATGGAGGAAGAATGGAGAGGCACACACTGCAAGATGCTTGAAGTCCAGTGTGAAGTTTCCACAGTCTGTGTTGATTTGGGGAGCCATGTCATCTGCTGGTGTTGGTCCATTGTGCTTCATTAAATCCAGGGTCAACGCAGCCGTTTACCAGGAGATTTTGGAGCACTTCATGCTTCCTTCCGCAGACGAGCTTTATGGGGATGCTGACTTCATTTTCCAGCAGGACTTGGCACCTACCCACACTGCCAAAAGCACCAAAACCTGGTTCAATGACCGTGGGATTACTGTGCTTGATTGGCCAGCAAACTCACCTGATCTGAACCCCATAGAGAATCTATGGGGCATTGCCAAGAGAAAGATGAAAGACATAAGACCGAACAATGCAGAAGAGCTGAAGGCCGCTATTGAAGCATCCTGGTCTTCTATAACACCTCAGCAGTGCCACAGGGTGATAGCTTCTATGCCATGCCGCATTGAGGCAGTAATTGCATTGTAATATACAGCGCTGAGCGAACTGTTGGTGCTTTATAAATACTGTATATTATTAATAATAATAATTGCTGCAAAAGGGCCCAAACCAAGTACTGAGTACATATGCATACTTATACTTTTCAGAGGTCCGATATTGTTCTATGTACAATCTTTGTTTTATTGATTGCATGTAATATTCTAATTTTCTGAGATTGTGGATTTGGGGTTTTCATGAGCTGTAAGCCACAATCATCACAATTATGACAAATCACGGCTTGAATTATCTTGCTTTGCATGTAATGAGTCTATCTCATATATTAGTTTCACCTTTTAAGTTTCATTACTGAAATAAATGAAGTTTTGCACAATATTCTAATTTTATCGCGTTTCACCTGTATCTGTCCATTTGTATTGTATTTTATTGTTTTTTCCAAGAAAGGTCTTACATGTCTTTGTGTAGTAAAATAGTTTTGCCCTACATCTGTAGACCTTAGGCGTTGTCAACAGACCTATCTGCACTGGGAATTGACGCATTGGTTCTATTCCAGTAATGAAATACTGAAACCTGAAGGGTGTAAGAAGCTGCATATGAGTTCCATGACAATATGAAAGCATTAGGTTAGCTAGTTATTACAGTCCGACTCCAACCAAAATTTATTATTTTGTTGTAGATAGGATGAAGTAGGGTTAAAGCCTCTGTTTGTTACTCCTTGCATCTGCATCCCTGTTGGTGAGATTTCCCATCATTTTGGTTCAAGGTAAGAAGTGATGGAAATCTCTTAATGAAGGACACAGACAAAAGCAAAAGAAATAGCACATTTGTAGTAAAGTAAGGAAGGGTTAGAATGTCTCACAATGTTTTTATTGTTGCCTTTACCTTCCTGTCCCATTGGCAGTTGATACCTTGTAGAGTTTGTTGTGGAATTTCAGTCAAACCACACTCTTGCGGTGAACCGTGTTTATTCACATCATACACATACATGGGTCAGTCCAAGGGAGGACTGGAAAACAGTTGCTCTTTTACAATGGTAATTTATACTGTGTGAGAACCACAAATGTGGTTGGTCAACATTGTTAGATGCTAGCAGCTTGTTACCATTTGTAAACTGGAATAAATGACCAAGCATGGCATGACACATCACATTAAAACTAGACAATAAACAAAGTGCAGGGAAACCTTTGACATACTGTATGTTCCCAAATGGTCATGTCATAAAACACTGTTAGCTTGCTTGTTTTAGCTACTTAAGAAGGTTCTGATGAGTTCACGGCTCAAGTTTGAACCATAATGTTTAAAGAAGCAGTTACAGTGAAGTTATGTATTTATTTGATAGCTAAGGCCTACTTGCTTGACAAGTTCAACTGCACTTGCAAAGGGCACAGTCTATTTGTCTTTAGTAAATCAACCACTCAATGTGGAAAAGGCATAGTAAATCATTAATGGAGAAAAGGACAGATGCAGAAAGCCTACAAGTGTAGCCACGTGCCACTGATCTGAGGAGCACTGACCCCTCCCCCAGTAGCTGTGTTGTTGGAGTGCAAATTGGGCTCTAATACCTACTCTCTCTCTCACACTCCTACCTCTGCACAGAGACACAGAGGGCTGAGTGTGTGTCTGCTCCTTCCTCCCCTCTCCCTCCTAGCAGCAGCCATGGTACACAGGGGAGAGAATACAGAGTGCAGCGCCCCCCTCCACATGATGTGCTGGAATGGACAATGGAACTCATAGTTCTGGAGAAACGTTGTCCAAGAGAGGCTAATGGGGATTGGACTTAAAATACCATAGATCACTGCAAACAGAGGAGGAGGACAACACAGGATTTTTCCTGGGCAAATCCAAGGAGATTAGGGAACAACAGCAAGGGGAGCCAGGCAGTAGAGTAGACATGCACTGGGGTACAGAGACTAGAGAGACAGCCACAGAGAGCTAGTTGATGGGTTAGAGGCTGAGAACTGAGCCATTTAAAGCTTTTTTGCTGTAGACTGTGGGGCACAGACCTGCTACTCCCATATGACTATGCCCACATCCAGAGAGACTGAATCTGAGAGAGAGTCAGGGGACTGAGCCACAGGTCTTTCACTGAGTTGGTACCAGAGCTGAAGCAGTGAGCAATCATCTGACACTGACACAGTTAACAAAAGTAGAGACTGTTCTACTTAACAGCCCATCAGCCATCCCTTATGTACAGTCTTAAAGGGACAGCTTCATATGAACAATCTTACAGATGGCCCCAACGTTAGCCGGCCTAAATCTACTAGTCATTGCGTCAGGCATTTTACAGCTTTTCCCAGGAGCATTCCTTGGTTAGGAACACTTACACCCACCCACTAAAGAGCTGTATGCGCAGAGTGCGCTTGCGGACACTTTTTGAGTAGTTGTTTCTAAGAGGCTTACGGTGAGTTACAGTGAGGCTTTTCTTTGTGTAATTCATGCTTTCATGGTTGATGCAGTTCTTACCAATGCAGTGTGTACTGGGTCAATGGCCATAGGTGAGGCTAATATTCCTTTCAGTTAATCTAATGTATTATATGACCTATTAATTTATATGTGTATTGAGTTTATTCTACTTTGCTACAATATACTTACTTTATTTATCATTGATCATTGATCATTGTTGTCTATTTCCTGTTTGTCATTACTGTTACGGTATTATACTCATGTGTAAACTAACCAAGGTCCATGCAGCATGCTAAGATAAATCCAAGTGTGTCAGTGAGGCCCCAGCCATTCAAAGAGCTTTGGTTCTCTTTTAGTGCAAAAGGTAATGAGTATAATGAAGTGTATAATACCATGTATTGTCTTACATCAACTTTTCTATACTACTCTTGTAATAGATCACTTTTCGGAGACTCGCTCTCTACTATGTGGTAAATCTGTTACTACCCAGCATATTCCTCATGGCTATGGGTTTGACTGGATGCTACATACCTCCAAACAGTGGAGAGAGGATATCCTTTATGATTACTGTATTTCTGGGCTATTCTGTCTTCCTTATTGTTGTGAAAGAAACATTACCCCCAGCTGCACATGGAACACCAATAATAGGTAATGTAAGCTTTAGATGATGTCAATTTTCATTAACTAAGCAAAAAATAACTTCACTGTGAAAATCTCACGAGGGTGTAAAGAAAAGAATATTTGGTTTTATGGTTTCAAGGTCAGAGGTTAAACAGTTTCCCAAAAAAAAAAGATATTTTTCAGCAATACCTATTTACTTTTAAAGCCAAGTTTGAGTTTCCCATCTTCTTATCTTTTAATAGTTCTGTACCTCCACATGTTATGATACAAAACTGTTTTTTGTTTGGAAACATCCTAAAATGAACCCCTTTTTCTCAATGAAAATGCTGCTTTTAGCCCTCTAACTGCAACGCTTTATGTTGGCAGGGCTGAGTAATAGCCACACCCCTCTACCCAAGTGTTATCACACAAACTTGTATTGCAGAGGAAGAGAGGTTGTGTCTGACCAGGTCTGTTACTAAGTGCTCATTACTAAGTGCATTGAGTCCAGGGGCGGACTGACAATTTGGGAACTCGGGCACTGCCCGAGGGCCCTGGGTCAGTAGGGGGCCCCATTAGATGCCCCTGGTACCTTTATATAGGCTTTTTTGGTAGTGGTTTGATTGTGGGTGAGGACACAGGGGCCCCATGATCCCCTATTGCCCGGGGGCCCCATGAGTTGTCAGTCCGCCCCTGATTGAGTTTAAATCAGCTTGATATTATCGTATCATTCTTACCATATTCAGACTCCCTGCACAGCTGCTGTAACAGGCAGGTAAAAGTAACTTTATAATCTATTGCTCTCTTTAATGCATGTGCATATGATAGTATCAAACCATATCCAGAGGTTGCACTCTATCCTAAAGTCTGTTTTGGGCTTGACTTGATTTAACCCTTTGGTTATTATAAGGAGTACCTTCTGATATATAATAAGTAGTAGCATCATTGTCCTCAACTCATGCAATAGTGTCTCTCAGTTAAATATTGTCAATTGCCAATTTTTAAACATTACTATAAGGAGAGATAGGGCATTTTGGATGAATATCTAACTGTTCAAAATAAAATGTATGATATTGTTTGGTGTACAGTTATGCTCTTTGTCTTTTGTTTTTGGTATTTTGTAAAGTGAGTAACACATCTTACCTAATTTGGTGAATTTTCTAGAGATGTGGGGTATACAAAAGACATGTTTAATGTATAAAGGTAATACCATAATTAACACAAGTACCACAATGTGGATTTTTGGAGGCACATTTTCAGAAATCACCCGACTTCCCAGGTCTTATAGAGCCAAATAATGCATTCAGAATTCAGGCAGAACTTAGCCATTCAGTTTAGTGGCAGCCCTTAGCAACTTCATCCTTTCCCTCTCCACAGTGATAAAAGTGTAGCCTGGTGAAGGCTGAACCAATATACCCTCCTCTATCCACCACAAGTATAAAAATACCCATACATCCTAATTTGACAACATACATACATATGCAATATTATTATTATTATTATTATACAGTATTTATAAAGCGCCAATAGTTCGCTCAGCGCTGTACATTACAAAGGGGGACAGAACATGTGACAGAACAATACCAATACAATGCAAAACATGAGGGGATCGAGGGCCCTGCTCTTTCGAGCTTACAATCTAGGAGGGAGGGGATGGTGGCACAGGAGGAGATAGCTGTGGGGGATGGAGTGGTAGGAAGAGTGGAGGCGGTCGGCAAGTTAGCAGGGGGGTGGGGTAGGCTTCCCTGAAGAGATGGGTTTTCAGGGTGCGCCTAAAGGAGAGGAGAGTAGGTGATAATGTGATGGGTTGGGGCAGGTAGTTCCAGAGGATGGGTGACACCCTGGAGAAGTCCTGGAGGCGGGCATGGGAGGAGAAGACCAGGGAACTAGAGAGAAGGAGGTCTTGTAAGGAGCGGAGTGTGCGTGCTGGGCGGTACTTGGATATTAGGTCAGTGATGTAGTTCGGGGCAGTATGGTGGACAGCTTTGTACGTCAGTGTTAGGATTTTGAATTTGATCCGTTGCGCAATCGGAAGCCAGTGGACGGATTGGCAGAGGGGGGGTGGCGGAAACGGAGCCCAACCCCTCTCAACCCCCCACCTCACCCCCTCAGTCTCTGCCCGAATCACACACCCACTGAGCGACACAATATCTGCATTAGGTTTTAATGTGGTATTTACTGTGGCTAAATGTTTTGATTAACATTTAAATATTGTTATTTCAGCTGTGTATTTCGTGGTCTGCATGGCTTTTCTTATGCTCATTTTGATGGAAAGCATTTTTGTAGTTCGACTTAATAATAAAAAGGATTCTTTGGCACAAGTCCCCACCTGGTTGAAAAATCTGAGCCTAGGAAAAAATAAGGCTTTGCTTTACATTAAGAAAAAAGCACATTCTTCTAAACCAAAAATAAATGCTTCTGACATAATTCAGGTCATGGAAAACAGCACAGGTGAGTTTTGCTCATTTAAACTTATAGGCTTTTGTTGGATAGGGCCGCACACTTTAAAGACAAGTCGAGCAATCCACTGCTTCCTCCAAAACTCCATGCAGCCACGATTAATTCTTGAGAATCCACACCTAAAGATAAAGTAAAGTCATATGTGTAATGAAGGCTAATTACGGCCTTCACTAAATTGAAATAATAGAAATAGAATGTAGAGCAATTACACACCATATCTCATAAAGGTCTTGAAAGCACATTAGAGAACTGAAATGAATGACTTTTGGTAGAAAGATCTACTACAGAGTTTAAGATTTACCTGAGGTCACTTCAAAAATGTTAAATTGACCTCTGGTGTCAATATCAATACTATACTGCTCAAGTATACTGAAAGATAAGTTCCTTCAAATATTTTGGTATATTTAAAAAAGTATCCAGACAAGAACTAAAAATGCCTTGTTTTGCATGCTGTAGATGCCAACCAGTGCTCAAAGGGTTGAGCTGTAGACCCACGCCCCAAATGTTTCTATTTGGAGTTTATAAAACAAAGTAACTGACATGATCACTTAACAACCCCATTTAAAGAGGGAATCAAAACAGAGTGGGATCCCCCAAAATCAATACCATACTGTTATCTGAGCATTTACTCCTGCTGACCAGGAAAGGGGGGACAAGCATGAGCACCCTCCACCTGGCCACATTGACTCAACCTTGGGAAGAGTACTTTGCCAGGAGGATCCCTCTGACAAAGCACCTTATCCCCATGCTGATGAGGACAAAGGCCATTTCTCCACAACCCTGGCCTAGTGGTGGTGGCGGTCTGTGGGCTGGGGATTTATTGGAATTTGGAACCCCTTTTAATAATAAGGGGCTCCCAGATACCAACTTTTCCCATGTGACTGAGTAAGGGGTACGCAGGAACATTAGTCATTCACAAACAAACAAAAAAAACAGTAAATACACTGATATTTTTGGACAAGTCTTTCAGTTGCCGACCGTAGATAGCCGAATGACGGCTGCACTGCGGCCGGCCAGTTCTGGGTGGACGTCATATGACGTCCTCCCAGAACGGGCTCTCCTGCGCGCCCCAGGGGGTGCGCACCCGGCGATCTCCTACGGACACAGCTGATCACATGATGTGGTAAAAGGCCAATCACAGCGGCCTTTTACCACGTGATCAGCCGTGTCCAATGACACGCTGATCACAGGGAAATGCAATTGCCGGTTCTCGGCTGCACTTTCCTCACGCTGTCAGATCGTGAGGAAAGTACTGCCGAGAACCGGCAGTTGTCAGAGCGAGGATCGGCACCGATCATCAGGGCACTGATGATCAGTGCCCTGATGATCAGTGCCCAGCAGTGCCACCCACAAGTTCCGCCCAGCAGTGCGCCCACTAGCTCCGCCCACCTGTGCCCAGCAGATCACCCACCTGTGCCCAGCAGTGCACCCACCTGTGCCCAGCAATGCACCCACCTGTGCCACTCTGCAGTGCCACACACCTGTGCCCAGAAGTGCCACCTACCTGTGCCCAGCAGTGCCACCCACCTGTGCCCACCCACCTGTGCCCACCAGTGCCACCCACCAGTGCCCCCCACCAGTGCAGCCCAGCAGTGCTGCCAGTCAGTGCCGCCAGTCAGTGCCCAGCAGTGATGCCAGTCAGTGCCATCTATCAGTACCCATTATCAGTGTCGCCTATCAGTGCCGCCTATCAGTGCTGCATATTAGTGCCGCCGATCCGTGCCACCTCATTAGTGCTGCCTATCAGTGCCGCCTATCCGTGTCACCTCATTAGTACTGCCTATCAGTGCCCTTTAGTGCTGCCTATCAGTGCCCATCAGTGCCGCCTATCAGTGCCCATCAGTGCTGCCTCATCAACGCACATCAGTGAAGGAGAAAAAATACCTGTTTGAAAAATTTTATAATAGAAACAAAGAAACTTTTATTTTTTTTTCAAATTTTTTGCACTTTTTTTGTTTATAGCGCAAAAAGTAAAGTACCCAGCAGCGATTAAATACCACCAAAAGAAAGCTCTATTTGTGAGAAAAAAACGATCAAAATTTCATAAGGGTACAATGTTGCATGACCGCGCAATTGTCAATCAAAGTGCGGCAGTGCTGAAAGCTGAAAATTGGCCTGGTAAATAAGGGGGTATAAGTGCCTGGTAGGCAAGTGGTTAAAAAAAACCCCCATAAAGGTCCCATAATGTGAATCCACTGTCAATCACATCATCCAGCAATGCAGATGCTTGTCAGTCACAATGAACGAGGCTTGAAAACCCATCAATGGAAAAAATCCCACAACATCCATTCTTACTTCTCATTCGGTATGCATGACAGCTCTCAGGCCTCAAACCTAAATGCGAACAAAGGTGTGGGCTATCTTGGGTGATGTAATTGACCAAATATGGATATGGCCATATTTGGTATGATGTGACTGGAGATCCCTATGACATCACTGACCAAATATGGTCATGTTCATATTTGGTCAGTGATGTCACCTGAGATACCCGGCACTCTTCTTTACATTCAGAGATCAGCTAGAGAGTTGTGATTCACGGCTAAGGAATGACAAGAGAATGATGAGATCATATATTCGGCAGTTTTTATTCTTTCAGCGGGTGAGCAAGCGTCATTCATCGAAATTGACGAGGAGCATTTTTTTAAATATGTTCACAGTTAATAGTCTGGTATGTATTTGTAAGGCCATGATTTGTGGTGTTCATCTAGGGTCTGGTATATATGAAGGGAATTGCTGGCTAGCTTTTTACATACAGAAGGAATCAGCTGGGAGCTATAATTTCTAGGTCATTTATACAATATTTTGTTTCATGAGTTTTGCTGTAGTTTTTCTTGCATCATATAGGGCATCCCACAGACATGTTATTTAACCATTAGCCGCCCAGCCTATAGCCGTTTAGCGGCCGCAAAAATGCTTCAGCTTTCCGGGTGCACGCCATTTGGCGTCCTCCCGCAGATGCGCAGTTCACGCGGTTGCAGAGCCGCGCAGCGGCGCAATCTGTCACCGGCCATGTACCTCGGACATGGCCGATGACAGATCTGAGTACCAGGCCCCGTTGCCGGTACCATGTGACCTGCTGTGACCAATCACAGCAGGTCACATGAAAGTTGTATACAATGGATGGCTTCATTCATGCCAGCCATTGTATACTAGTGCCTAGCTGTGAATGGTCACAGCAGGTCACATACACATGTCATGTGATTAGCTGTGGCCAAATCACACCTAAGCACAAAAAAAAAAAAAAAAAAAAAAAAAAAAAAAAAAAAAACCTGAATGAATCGATTTAATTCAGGTAAATGCTTGCTTATAGCAAAGTAATTCTTTGCTATAAGCAAATTGTGTAAAAAAAAAAAAAAAAAAAAAAACTGATCACCTCCCCAAAGTAGTACAATGTTACTATGGTAACATTGTACTACTTGGTCATAGTAAAATATGAAAAAAAAATCTTAAAAAAAAATAAAAAAAATGTAATAAGAAATTAAAAATAATAATAAAAAATATATATATATTTTTTTCATACTGTCACCAGTCAGTGTCCCTGTTCACCACCATGCCAGTTATATGATGACGCTGTACTGCACTGGTGACAGTATGTAAAAAAAAAAAATTGTGAAAATAATTTTTTTAATTTTTTAATTTTCCGAAAAATTATGACAAAAAAAATACAACTTCAAAAAACTCGCCATGCCTCTTATGAAGTACGTCAGACTGTCTACTTTACAAAAAGGGGTCATTTGGGGATATCTGTACTATTCTGACATTCTTGGACCTCAAGAAATTAGATTGGCTGTCAGTACTTCAGGATTGATCAATTTTCAGATCTATACCATAGTTTGTGAACTCTATAACTTTCCTACAAACTAAATAATACATCCTAATTTGGGTTATTTTCACCAAAGACATGTAGCAGAATACATCTCGGCCTAAATTTATGAAGAACAATTATTTATTTGTAAACTTTTATAACAGAAACAAAGAAAAACGTGTTTTTTTTCAAAATGTTTGGTCTTTTTTTGTTAATTTAGCAAAAAATAAAAACACCAGCGGTGATTAAATACCACCAAAAGAAAGCTCTAGTTGTGTGAAGAAAATAATAAAATTTTAGTTTGGGTACAATGTTGTATGACCGCGCAATTGTCATTCAAAGTGTGAGAGCGCTGAAATGTGAAAAATAGCCTGGGTAGGAAGTTGTAAAATTGCACGGTATTGAAATGGTTAAAGGATAAGTTCACCTTTTGACCAAAAATAATAAATGCACATTTTTTTGCATGTAAAAAAAATGTGCATTTATTTTTTTTTGGTTTCAGGAACCTGTAAACCATTGCACTAGCGATCAGTAGATTGTAGGTGCCACGCATGTCTCCTGCAGATCTGTCAGTATATCTGCATGCCCATACTAGATGTGTAGGCAAGCAGATACACTGAAAGGAAGAATCAATGAACTACCACAGCGCTCCACAGCACCGTGGTAGTTCATTGAGAACTACTACAAGCCGACAGCCACTAAGGCTGGTAAGACTTGTAGTTCATTAATTCGCAGAAATCGCTCTATTAAAAAAGAGACAACTTGTATGGGGAACTCTCCCCGTACTGCTGTCAAAGGGGTAGGGGGGGATTGGGCAGCAGCTGCAGCATTAAGAACATGTTACATGTTTCACTCTAAAAATGGGTGGAACGTGTAACATGTTCCCAAAGGTGAACTTATCCTTGTCTTTTACCCCCTTTACCCCCTTCCTGCCCAGGGCAATTTTCAGCTTTCAGCACTATCGCACTTTGAATGACAATTGCGCGGCCATGCAACACTTTACCCAAATTAAATTTTTGTCTTTTTTTTGAGAGACATATAGAGCTTTCTTTTGGTGGTATTTAATCACCAATGGGGTTTGTACATTTTGTAAATGAGTAATTTTTCTCCTTCACTGATGTGTACTAATGATGTTGCAGTGATGGACACTGATAGGCGGCACTGATGAGCACTAATACGTGGCATTGATGAGGAGGCACTGGTAGGTGGCACTGATGGGCATTGACAGGCATCACTGGCGGGCATTGACAGGCATTACTGATGGGCACTGAAAGGCAGCACTCATGGGCACTGATAGGTGATAGGTTGAACTGACTGGCATTGTTAGGTGGCACTGTTTGGGACTGTTAGGCGGCACTGATGGGCGCTGATAAGCAGCGCTGACTGGCACTGATAGGTGGCACCAGGGACGGACTGACCATTTGGAAACTCGGGCACTGCCCGAGGGCCCGGGGTCAGTAGGGGGCCCCATGAGATGCACCTGGTACCTTTTTCATAGGCTTTTTTGAGTTTGAGCAAGGACACAGGGGCCCCATGATCCCCTATTGCCCGGGGCCCCATGAGTTGTCAGTCCAACCCTGGGTGGTACTGATTTGTGGCACTGATAGGCATCACCGACTGGCACTGATAGGCGTCACTGATTGGCACCGATAGGTGGCACTGAAAGACAGCTCTGATGGGCACTGATATGTTGCATTGATGTGCACTGATGGGTACTGGTATGTGGCATTGATGGGCACAAACAGGTGGCACTAATGGGGCTGCACTGATCATCAGGGCACTGATGATCAGTGCCCTGATGATCAGTGTGGATGTCCCCTCTGAGGAATGCCGCTTACCGACTCTCCTCTCCTCACGCGCTGTCAGTGTGAGGAGAGGACTGTTTACATGCAATCAGCTGTGATTGAACACAGCTTACCACATGACAGAGCCTGTGTCATTGGCTCTTTACTGTGATCAATGATCTGCTGTGTCCAAGGGACACAGTGCACCACCGATCGCCACGCCAACGCACCCCCGCCAGCGCGCAGTGCAGTTAGAGCAGAAGGACGTCATATGATGTCCTCCCAGCACAAGAGACCAGCTGTCCTGTCACTTCCTTACATGGAGGGCGGGAGGCGGTTAAAGCAATTTTTGCATTTTTAATATTTTCTTTAAGCATTATTAAAATCACTGCTCCCCACCAATCAATATTTTTACATTTTCTTTAGCTTTGGTGCATGTCACCCAGAGCTATGCCCAGCACCCCATGCCATTTGTTTGACAATCCCTTGCCATTACTGTTTTATAAGAGTCAGATCGCTTTGACTTCAATGAGGTTCAGATTCAGCATCTAAACCAGCAATGGGCAAACTACGGCCCGCGGGCCGTATACGGCTCGGCGGAACCTTTTAATCCGGCCCGCGGAGCTAGGCTCCCGCTAGGCTCCTCTCACAGTCCGCCCTGAAGACCGGTGTAGCATGAAAATCTGTCTCCTATGAGGATCTGTCCCCCTTGACGTATCTGCGCATGTGCCGGAGATCGCCGATCGGGCTGCTAATGCCTGAAACTGGCACATGCGCAGATACGTCGAGGGGGACAGATCCTCATAGGAGACAGATTTTCATGCTACACCGGAACGACGCGGCAACACGGCGAGAGGAATGCGCGGAGCAAAGGTAAGTGAATTGACACAGGGGGGACTTGGGGACTTAATATGGGGGATGAATTACTATGGGGGGATGAATTACTATATGGGGGATGAATTACTATATGGGGGATGAATTACTATGGGGGATGAATTACTATATGGGGGATGAATTACTATGGGGGATGAATTACTATATGGGGGATGAATTACTATGGGGGATGAATTACTATGGGGGATGAATTACTATAGGGGGGGATGAATTACTATAGGGGGGATGAATTACTATAGGGGGGATGAATTACTATGGGGGATGAATTACTATATGGGGGATGAATTACTATATGGGGGATGAATTACTATATGGGGGATGAATTACTATAGGGGGGATGAATTACTATAGGGGGGGTGAATTACTATGGGGGATGAATTACTATAGGGGGGATGAATTACTATAGGGGGGATGAATTACTATATGGGGGATGAATTACTATGGGGGGATGAATTACTATGGGGGATGAATTACTATATGGGGGATGAATTACTATATGGGGGATTAATTACTATGCTTACTATGGGGGAATATTACTATACTTACTATGGATGACACATACACATCATTCATCTACTCTTGGTCCGGCCCCCGGGTCCAATATATGAACCCATTGCGGCCCTCAAGTCAAAAAGTTTGCCCACCCCTGATCTAAACTTTGGTAACATTCACTGAACTTGCCCTGAACTGAGCCCAGGTATGTTCGGCTCATCAATAATACACATTTAAAATGTTACTTAGTTTTTTTTTTTATTGGTATATTGACTGCTGTTGTCAAAGAGTTACTATGAAAAAATGTGTTGTATTGATTACAATGACAATTTTACCTATCTATCTATCTATCTATCTATCTATCTATCTATCTATCTATTATCTATCTATCTATCTATCTATCTATCTATCTATCTATCTATCTATCTATCTATCTATCTATCTATCTATCTATCTATCTATCTATCTATCTATCTATCTATTATCTATCTATCTATCTATCTATCTATCTATTATCTATCTATCTATCTATCTATTATCTATCTCTCTATCTATCTATCTATCTATCTATCTATCTATCTATTATCTATCTATCTATCTATCTATATCTATCTATCTATCTATCTATCTATTATCCATATCTATCTATCTATCTATCTATCTATCTATCTATCTATCTATCTATCTATCTATCTATCTATCTATCTATCTATCTATCTATTATCTCTATCTATCTATCTATCTATCTATCTATTATCTCTCTATCTATCTATCTGTCTATCACCAGCAGTATTTATAAATGTAAAGATGTTTTTTTTCTTTCTGCAGAGGATTTGCCCAGTTGTATGGATAATGGAAGTAGCACCAAAAATTCACGTGAAGGAAACATACCAAAGAAAGAGCATAACGAAATGTTGGAAAGAATTCTTAAAGAAATCGTAATAATCCGGCAAAATATCAAGGACAATGATCAGGAGATTACTTCAGAATTTCTGCAAGTTGTATTTGCTCTAGATAAATTGCTTTTCAGGATATATCTGGTGATTATATTGGTTTACACTCTAACTTTGGTGTTTCTTTGGTCATATAACAGTAGCACATAGTTACCGAGCCATAGTAGCAGTAGGTTCTGGTGCTGGGACTTCAGTACTCATGTCTTTTGGTGAGGGAAGAGTTAAGCTTCAGCACAGGTAATCCCAGTGCAGGAGAAGTGAGGATAGGGAGGGTTTATATTAGGGTTAATCAGGGCTTTTTTTCCCCAAGAATAGGTGTAGAAACCCCCCCTTGTCTTTGTCACCAACCCTCCTCTCAGCATTATCACTTGGTTCCACCCCCTACCCACCTCCCAGTTCTGCCCCTTTTAGAGAATACAGAGCCAAGTATCACTTTGTGGTACTAAATAATTTGTATGCAATTTGTTAATGATAACAAGAAAAGCAGTAAAATAGATCCCCTGCAGCCAACAACAATAGACCACCTCAGCAACAATAGATCCCCCACACAACAACAGAATCCCCCAGCAACAATGGACCACACCTCAGCAACAATAAATCCCATGCAGTAACAATAGACCCCACAACACCCCCCCAGCAGCAAAAGATCTACCACAGCCTCATTACCCCCCCTCCCAGCAGCAACAACAGAACGCCCAGCAGCCAGCAACCTTTCCCTCAACAGTAGATCCCCACCAGGAACCTAAGACCCCCCAGCAACAACAGATCCCCAACCACCAACAACAGCCCCTCACACAAAAACAGCACCCCACCAGTGATAATAGATTCCCCAGCAGCCAGCATGAATAGATCTTCCAGCACACCCCACATCCATTGCCATTACATACATTCAGTGCTGGAGGTGCCAGAACTGCATCCCCTCGTGTTCCCACTGAAAAAAAGCCTGGGGTCATGCTAGAATTAGACAGGGTTTGGTTATTATGATGGAGGCTTAGGGAACAGGATCATTCTCTGTGCCAAAAACTACAGATATCCCAATGTTTGAAGATCTGTTTAAACCATATGCATTGGGCTGTACTGGACATCCTTGCCCAATGCAGCCCTAACACATAGACACAGCAATTTGTCTTATGTCCTACTAGTTCAAACCGTACTAAAGTAAAGGTTCACTTTTTTTTTGGAAAATAACAAACATGTTTTTACTTACCTGCTTTGTGCAGTGGTTTTGCACAGAACAGCCTGGATCCTCCTCTTTTCAGGTCTCCTGTTGGCTCTCCTGGCTCCTCCTTTCTGTCGGGTGCCCCCATAGCAAGCAGCTTGCTATGGGGGCACCTGAGCAGACATGTGCCCAAGCCATTGCTTCATGTGTCCATTCACACACAGAACCATGGCTTGGCCCCACCCCCTCTCTCTCTCCTCATTGGCTGACTGGCTGTGATGGACAGCAATGGGAACCAATGGCCCCCGCTTGCTGTCTCAGCCAATGAGGAAGCAGAGACCCAGGACAGCCATGGCTACTGTGCATATCTATGGATCGCAATGGGGTTCAGGTAAGTATTGAGGGGGCTGGAGGCGCTGCTGCACACAGAAAAATAGAATGCATGAAGGTAAAAAAACCTTGACCCTTTAAAACCACTTTCAGTTCACACCACTGCCCTGTAGTAGTGTATACTAAAGAAAATTAGGGCATGCTGTATTTTTTTTAGCATTGCCACACATCACATCCCACTATAAAGCTAATTGTCAGAAAAAATATTTAAGTTGGCAAATTAAATGCAAGGAGACCACATAAACAAACATGATAAATACGTGCTTCTATCATTGTTCAGTTAAAACGGAACTTCACCTAAATGGGGAAAAGCGGAACTTCACCTAAATGAGGAAAAGTGGAAATTCACTTAAAGGGGGAAGTTCCACTTGTTTGACTCCTCCCCCTTCCACTGCCACATTTGGCACTTTTTTGGGGGGAGCAGGTACCTGGTTTTGACAGGTATCCGCTCCCACTTCCACGTATCACAGTTCCCATAGAATGAGTGAAGGTATAAACCTTGAGCCTTTACAACCACTTTAACAGTAACTATTAGTTTATCATATAGATATTGACATGTTCCTGACATGTTTCGCTCACAAGTACCTAAGACAGGTAATTATGTTGACTCTAACACCCCTTTTCACTCAATTCTGCTCTGTTTGAAGTAGACCTACATTTAAAGTGTTACTAAACCCACAACAGTCTGTATATGCAGTAAAGCATGCTTGTTATACTAACTGTGGAACCTAAGGAGTTAATCCTCTGCATTGTGTAAAAAGGCTGTTTGATCCTGTCTTCTCTGATCCTCTCCTTCTACTGTCCCCAATCCATCTACCAATAGAGAAAAGACTTGGGGGCAAGCTGCAAGTGTTCAGTTTGGTGTGTATTGCTAGAGAGTTTTTTTTTTTCGTGGGAGAGTGCATGTGATCAGCACTGGGCCAATCAGCACTTTCCAGAGGGTCAGGGGTTATGCAGCCACATAGGACAGTCAGAGGAGAATGAAAACTCCTCCTACAAGCTTTAACCAGTGCTTTGCTGGACACTGATAGAAGTCACACGAATGTTCTAACTGCTGATGAGAAAAGGTATTTAGCAGTTTATATTTACTAAAATAATTACATTTCCATGTTGTGTGTACTGTGGGAGACCAGATATAGTGAATGCAGGGTCCGGGGAGACCAGATATAGTGAATGCAGGGTCCGGAGAGACCAGATATAGTGAATGCAGGGTCCGGGGAGGCCAGATATAGTGAATGCAGGGTCCTGGGTTTAGTAACACTTTAAAGACTTGGTCATTTTTAACATCACCAACTGAAAATTTGGGAATCCACTGATTAATTCATACTACTTTAATAGTGGTTACAAATTTATTGCTGAGACCAATTTGTTTTTCAAAAGTGACAGAAGACAAGCAAGTACTTCCTCAAACCATTTTAGCTGGCACTCTATTAAAGGGGGTCTCCTTTCTTTAGAAAAAAAGAGCAGTCATTTGATTCAGAAGCATTGATAATGCAACATTCTGGCCACATTGCCTAAGTCTCTCACAATCACAAATGTCCATACTTAATACTGTAATCATATTTAATGTGTAGAATTGCTATGGGGAAAAGCTTGTATTTAACAGCTAATGCATGATAAGCATTCATTTATATACAGCATGTTGAATAAAAAAAAAGAAATCTGTTTTCATATAAATGCTCCTGGTTTTGTTCTTTTAATATAGTACAGGGGTCTCCAAACTGTGACCCTAGGGCCAGATGTGGCCCTTTGCTAGCCTTTATCCGGCCAGATGTGGCCCTTTGCTAGCCTTTATCCGGCCCTTGGGGCACTATTCCTCCCACTGACACAAACAATGGGGCACTATTTCTTACACTGATACCAATGATGGGGCATTTTTCCTCCTATTAATACCAATGATGGGTATTAATGGTATTAATAGGAGGAATAGTACCCCATGTTTTCACTGATGCTGTGCCCGGGACATTCTCTACCCCCACTGGTCACAATCCAGCCCTCCTAAAGTCTGAAGGACAGTAAACCGGCCTTTTATTTGAAATGTTTGGAGACCCCTGATATATTATTAAGTTCATTATTTTACATTTCTATCTAGTCACAGTTGTATGTTCCATTCACTAATGCTATATACAGAATTATGCAACCTCTGCTTTTAAACAATTCATTCAATAATTCAGTACAAATGTTTCTCATTTTGTCCCTTTTTTTGCATAAGAAATTTTTATTGAAAGAAAAATAAGAAGACATACAAAACTTTCCACTGACATATAGAGTAGGAACAAATCAGTTACTAGGTTATCATCAACAAGCATTGCCAGTAACATAAGTGGAATTGAGACTCCAAAGAGCCCAAGGGGTAACCTCAATTATCCACTAAAAAAACAAAACAAAAAGCAATGAACTTTAAAAGTAGTATGAAAAAAAAAGGGAAGAGAAAAATGAAAAACCCAAAAACCAACTACTCCAGGACACTAGCAAAGTATGTGTACTGTAGAAGGCAAGGCGCAGAAGGATTGAATTTGCACCAACTATAGAACTGGATCTGCAATACTCATCACCAAGACCACCCCCAATAAAGTTAGGCAGACGGATCTTCAATAATCCTCTGGGGAAGATGACATAATGGGCTTCTCAAAAAAAAAAATGGAGGCGGGGGGGTGAGGAAAGGGATAGAAAGTGGGGGGACTGAAATCTCCTGGGGTGGACTAAGCCATCTATCAGTAGATGCAGCTCTCCAGCGAACTGGGATAGAGGGGTGAGCAGTACATTAATCCCCACCTAGCTGGTTCAGGGATTTGTCCCTTTTTTTCTGTCTCTGATATATGTTCTCTCATGCCACACTGGGAGAGATTTACTAAAACAGAAGCACTCAGAATCTGGTGCAGCTCTGCATGGTAGCCAATCAACTTCAATATTCAGTTTTTTCAATTAAGCTTTGACAATAAAACCTGGAAGCTGATTGGTTTCTATGCAGAGCTACACCAGATTTTGTACACTCCAGTTTTTGTAAATCAACCCATTTTGCCTGAAAAAACTGCACCTTTTTGTTTTTTTAAAGAGTCTGTGTTTGACTTTAATAAACAGTTTCACTATGTTTTTTCCAATCAGTAAGCCTTTTGACCACACTGTTCTTAAAGTGACACTAAACTATATTCAAGTATGTATTCTTAACTTAGAAAAGTGACCTTTTATTGCACTCAGACTCCTCCAAATCTTCAAATTCCTATTTTTTTTGCTGCTGTGATCCAACTTCTTGCTAGAGGGTGGCTACATTTGTTCTCTATGGTCCCACAGTATGTAGGAAAGTAGCCACCCTCTCTTGCTCGGTTCAGAGATGGACTAAGGAATATGGACTATGGGATTTTTAGTGTGCATGGAGCAGTGTACATGACTGCAATTAACAAGCACTGCCCGTACCAAAAAAACTGAAGTAAGGGAGAAAATGAGAGGTTCAGGAGATCATGGAGGGCGCTACAAGGAGGCAGAAAAAAGCAGTAAGATACGATTTAATGAAAAATAGATTACAGGGCCATTAAGTACTGCTTGTGTATGGATTATTTTTGGAAAATATGATTTAAAAAAACCATACTGGTCATAAATGTAG